AAAATTATCGTGAATATCTATTTACAAAGATTCTCCTTGCCATGTTGACTCAAAATTTTACACCAGGTAAAATTAATCATTAAAGAAATTTATATAGGGCTTTAAAAAATTTTTTTACTGCTAAACAATTTTGCATAACACTTTTTTACGGTAGTTAGTTATTTTACCGCCGTTTCCATGTCGAAAATTCAAAACGTATTGTTATACAAAATAATTAAAATGTAAATTTTCTTTCTTTCTTTTTTTTTTTTTTTTTTTTTTCGGGGAACAGGAAATTGATTTCGTATGAAATGGTAAATAAAATTTAATAATTTATTTTTAATGACAATAATAAAACAACTTTAGATATGACTCACGTTTTTTCTGATTAATGCAACACATCCAAAACGCCTCTCATTAATAACGTCTGAGCAACGCAAAATAAAAAACTTTTCGTAAAAATAAAAATAAATAAATAAATAAACAAGTGGAAGCAGTAAACTTATAAAAAAAAAAAAAAACAAAAATTACATTTAACAAATTAAAATTTTTATGAATTAAATTAAAATTATTTTGATTATTTAATTGATTTCCATGCCCATTTTACTGAAAATTTTGTCATGCATAGTTACACACAAACAAATATTAAGGAAAAAACACTGAAACTTAAAAAAAAAACAAAACAATTTATACTCTCTAATCGATAATGAATAAATAAGATCAACCTCATGGTATATTTAAAAAATTTAAAATTCGATTTCCTCAATAATTCTCTAGCACCCTGCAATAATGTTCATCGAAATATCAGTACATAATTTATGTATTTATTTATTTTTTTTTTTTAACTCAAAGATTCAAGAGTAATAGAAGAATACAAAAGAAATTATATTTTTTTTAAAAGAATTGAAATATAAGTATGTAATCCCCATTTTTTTTTGTTTTTAAAAAAAAAAAAAAAAAAAAAAAAAAAAAATATATTCAGTGTTTGTGAATTGACCTTGCTAAATCAGCAAATCCTAACTGAAATGATCATTGAAATTTAATAAAAGAACTTGTGAATGTAAAAACAAAAGAATATATATATATATATTGTGAATAATATTTTAAGATTAATATAAAAAAGTTGAGAAATTTATTAAAAACTTTTTTTTTTTTTTTTTTTCCGAAAACCTACAAAACGAAATTTAACCATTTTATTTTATTTAATCACTTTGTAATTACTTTTGTTGAATCATTTACATAAATTAAAGTCTTTTAATATTAAAAATTATGATTCTTTTCCTTTTTTTTTTTTTTACATAAATTAAAAGAAAAAAAAATTGAGAACTCTTTCATTGCTGCTGTAGTAAAAAAATAATACAGAGCTTTTAACCATAAAAAAAAAAAAAAAATTGAACTTTAAAATTTAAAAAAAATTTTAATTTTGTAACATTTTTTAACAGTTAAAAAGTTAAAATAAAATTTTAATGAAATTTTTTTTTTTATTTTAAAATTAAAAAAAAAAAAAATAAAATTTTAGGATATTTTTTATTATGTGCTTAACAACAAAAAAAGTTTTTAACAAATATTTTCTATAAATATTTATTAAATAATCATAAATGTGATAAGACTTTTCGAAGTATGAATAAATGTTTTTTTTAAAACTCATTAATAATAGTTTTTACATAAATAATTTCAATTTAACTATTGAGGCATATATCAAATTTGACTTATCGAATTCAAAATTATTAATTAAATTAATTAAAAAAAAAGAGTAAAATGAAGTTTAAAAAAAATTACATTTTTAGTTACACAATAAAAATTGTTAGGTTATAATTTGTTTCAATTTTTTTAAACTGTTAATAATAACGTTTGATGACTAAAGTATTTAGTTAGACACAAATGCATATGATTGTTTTAAAAAAATTGTATGAATTACTCTTATAAATGACCTTGAGATTTTAAGTAGGATCATAAACCCCTTTTGTGTGGGTCGACAGCTGCATATTTCCAAGTTTAAATTAATTTGTTCATATATTCAATTAATAGCGATAATTAATAATTTCAGAATATAAAACAATTTACATTATTAATTATATAATTCTTTTGTTCGGTCATTATTTATCGATACAGAGAACATTATTTAAAAATAATTTGTTTTCATTGACATTCGAAAAACAAAAATAAACCTAAAAACGCTTACCATCTTTATTTTTTGACGGATTCGTGCAGTGTTTATCCTCATTACAAAACATTATTTAAAAAAAACAACACTTTTGCTTCACTAGTATACAAACATTACTTGAAAAACATTATATAAGTAAAAATCATAAGAGAGCTTACAAAAACCTAATCATTCATTACTAAAGCACGTTCGCCATTACTCCTTCATCACTGACTTTTCAAAACTACCAACTTTATATTGTAGTTTTACAAAATCGCCAAAAGAGGCAGCACATTACAATTTGCTTTTAGCTGTTTCATTTTTGGCGTACAAAGAAAGATGAAACTTTTGCTGCCGTTAATTATTTGCTTTTATTTTCGCTGTGATTCCAATTTATTTGAAATTTCATTTGCTGTAAGTTCTACTATAATATCTATGTAATACAATAAAATTTTTTTAAGCTGTTTTAGTTTTAAATTATTTTTCATATGTTGTTTATATTATTTTTAATTTATCAAGAAGTAAAATGAAAAAAATGTTTAAAATAATAAAAAATAATAATTTTGTTAAACTTATCTTAAAACACAATCATTTTATTATAAATTTTATATCTACATACATCATGGTAAAAATATTTATAATATATAAATTTTTGTATAAAAAATTATTTGTTTTGTTTTGTATTTAGCAATCATCGTAAAACTTTCAAAAAAAAATTTTTTTATAAATTTAAATACAAGTTAATATTAAATGCATTCAAATAAACATTCTCATAATTTTCTTTTTTCTATTGGTATTAAATTGGTAGTAATAAATATTTTGACGGTATAAAAAAATTTATAAATTTACAATAAATTTTAAAAATTAATTCCTGTTTATTATTTATTCTTCGTTTCTTTTTTTCCTCGCTACTGGAGGTTCGGTTAATGCTTCGACACATAAAATTATGAATTTATTATTACACGAAAATTTTTCTTGTCCTAAAATTTTTCCTTGAAGTAAGGATGAAGCCAAACCAACTTTATTGTCAGATGGTGAATTCCAAGCATCACAGTAAGTTTCTGAAACTCTTTCACCTTTGATATTTGTTCCATGCCATACTATTTTCTGGGGCCTAATAATTATCATAAACGACAAAATGAAAAAGAAAAAATTATTTTTAAGTGATAAAATTTTAAGTTATAGTTACCATTGAATGTCAGTGATGACATCTTTCCCGCTAAAACTATAAATGCGACGATTTTCTGCAGCAAACCGTCCTTCTCTTCCATCAAATATATTATTCCAACTATTAAATAATATTTCTCCCTATTAAAATATTTATTAATTAAAATATTAATAAGTTTTAATTATGTTTATCATTATAAAAATATTGATTACAATAAATTATTGATTTTTATGACATAAAACTTATCAATTTAAAATGTTTCAAATTATGAATAATCCAGAGAATAATATTTACTTTAATGTTTATAACTGGAAGGTTTCGATCAATATGGCGAACAACAGATTCTAAATCCTGGAGCCTCGATGATAAAAATGCTCTAAATGTTCCTTTGAGTCCTGCTCGTCTTGCTTGTCTATAACAAGCTCTATCAGCTCCACTTATACCTTGAATATCACCATTTGAGGGTTCATTCAATGCCGCCATTCTAAGCTGAAAACATAAAATATACATTATAAAAATAAAAAACTCCTGGTTTGACTCTTTAACTGACTTGATAATAGATAAATGAATTCTCACCATTCCTGAGTACCACTTTAACGGTAGCAAAAAATTAATTTATTTTATTAATAATGTATAAGATTAAAACTGTTTATTCTGCGATTACTTACGCTTGGTCCATTTAGTGGTAAAATAATGTTATTTACTAAATTTGAGCTTTCAAAAGGCGGAGAATTAGATGATGGCTGCGAAGTCGTTGTCGGAGGAATGCTTGAAACCGTGATGGTGGCTCCTAAATTTATATACTGCCAACCATTATTTACCCTAACGAGCAATGCTTCCTCATCTATCAGATAAGCAATCGTTCCAACGGGACTTGCAGATGTAAGCTAAAATTAAAAAAAAAATTCATTTTTATCGTGAAAAAATTCCATAGAGTAAGAAATCTTTAAAAAATGCACCTGCATCATTGTTTCTTTGTTAGAAAATGTTACAGCTCCTGGAACAATTTTAACGTTTCCATCTTCTGGATTAAATTTACCTATGAAAAAAATTTAATAATGATCTTATCAAATATTATTTTTTTAAATTATTAAAGTTTATTAGGTAAATAATTAAAAATTATTATGGTTAAAGAGAAAAATAATTACAACTTACTACTAGTATTTTTTGTATTAAGGGAATTTTTTAATTGATGGAGCTGAGTTGCAATTTTTAATTCTTTTATTGCTCCTCTATTACTCCCTGACAATGGAAAGACAGCAATAAAAAATTTAAAAAATTTTTAATTTTATTATACCTATGATTTAAACGTTAATTAAATAAAAATAAATCAAACCTGGTTTTGTAAAAACTGTACGACCGTAAGAATCTCCGAATATGTTTGAACGAGATCCTATTTCTTCATCGTTTCTACCATTAGATTCTCTGAATAATCCAATGGATCCCTGAATATTTTTCAAAAGTTAAAAATTAAATTTTTTACTTAATAAAAACTATTAAAAAAAAAATAATAATAAAAAAAAAATAGAAACGTAACTGGTACGCCAGAATTAAATTGATATTCTTCGTGGGACAAGTTCGATGGCACAAATTGATTTGAAGTTCCTGGTAAACCCGGTGGACCCGGAGGTCCGGGTGGTCCGGGAGGACCTCTCATTCCGATAATTATTTCTCCTGGTTCCCCTTTTTCTCCTTTTGCACCTTGATGTCCTATTCCCGGTAGCCCCGGAGGACCTGGCCTACCTGGTTGACCCTATTATTAATTTTTTAATGGGTTTAATCAAAATTTTCTTAATGAATTTTATAATTTAATATCGAAACTTATTAAATTAAAATTTATTTAATTAACCGTTTTTTTTTCGGGGAGCAACTATTATAACTGGTCATTATTTAAACGAAAATTGAAAAAAAAAAAATTTATTGGAACATTTGTAAAAGTACTTAAGTACCGTTAAATTCCTTAACTTCTTTTACTTGATTTTAATTTTTTGATAACTTAAAAAAAAAATTTTTATTTACCTTTGAACCAGTCTTGAAAGCATAAAAAATTATTATTATTATTTCTATTAGTTTTATTAAATAATTTAGAATTTTATTTAAATTTGATATGTGAGAAGATTGTTTTACGTCACAAAAATAATATTCAAAAATTTTTTTTGATAAGTAATGATTGATTAAAATAAAAAAATTACTGGATTTATTATTTAAATTTTTTTAAATCAATTGAAACTCACCATCCAACCTGGAAGACCTGTTTCTCCCATTAATCCAGGTTTTCCCGGAGGTCCAATGGGACCAGGAAATCCTTGTTTTCCTCTTCTACCCCGTTTTCCTTTATCACCTTTTTCACCTTTTATTGTAATGTAACCGTTACTGTTGGCAACCGTGGCGGGCCCGGGTGGTCCCCTTTCGCCTCTCAATCCTGGAGGACCCATTAGACCGGGTGCTCCATCTTTTCCAGGTTCTCCTTTGTCTCCGGCGACTCCCTGATTTCCGTTTAAACCGGGAAGACCGGGACTTCCTTCATCTCCTTTTTTACCTTTTTCTCCTTTTGGACCCACATCTCCTTGCTCTCCTTTTAATCCTACATCACCTTTATCACCCTTTAAATCTGATATTTTTAAACCCGATAATCCTGATTGTTCTCCCTCGGGTGATATTATTCCAGGGGGGCCAGGAGGACCAACGGGACCCGTTTTACCAGTAGCTCCTGGCTCTCCTTTTTCTCCCTTGTTTCCGGGTCTTCCGTTATCACCATTTATTCCTGGTAAACCATCAACTCCCGGAGATCCGGGCTCACCTTTAAAACCTTGTGTTCCCGGACTGCCTTGATGACCCTAAACAATTGATTGTAAACTAAATATGTAACTTCTAAAAATAAATTATAAAAAATAAAATAAATCTAACCCTATCTCCCTTATTTCCTTTAGCACCGGAATCTCCTCTTTCTCCTTTACTTCCTTGAATTCCTCTTTCTCCTTTTACTCCCGGTAATCCTGGAATACCTGGATCTCCTTTTGGACCCATAATTCCAGGTCTACCTAATCCATTATGGGAATTTCCTCCCGAAGATTCCTATAGTAACATATTTGTATTTTTTTCGTCGTAAATACATTTATTTCTTTATTATTATTATTATTATTATATTTAAATTAGTTAGTCAAAGTTTACCTTGTAAACTCCTCGGGGTCTCCAGTTAGGCTGGATTTAAATAATAAAAAATCACGGTAATCAAATAAAAATTATAATGAATAATTTTAAATATTTAATATAGGAAAAAAAAAAAAATTTTTTTCTCTTTCTAAAATAAAGGTATTATTATTATTATTGTACCCGAAAAAAATCAAGATAAAAAAGGTTGAATTTTGTGGTTGAAGATTTTTGCTTTACGTATTAGAAAAGGGGGCGGATTTGATTTAACACAAAACTCACCGCACATACAATTATTTGACCCTTTTTTTCTTCTTCTTTTACCTTTTGATTATTAACTTGTATAATAGTTCAACCCACAAGATAATAAAGTAATAAAACCACAAAATATAAAATGTCAGTATTTTGATTTGGAAAAATTTTTTGTTTAAGTTAATTTACAATCAAAAAAATATATTAATTTTTACTCACATCTAGCAGAGTAACATCTGATAATCCCGGTGGGCCTGGTGGTCCTGGAGCACCTGGAATTCCTGGAATGCCATCTCTTCCAGGTTCTCCTTTTTGTCCTTGAACACCTTCCGCTCCGATAGCTCCCGGATCTCCTCTTTCTCCTTTTTCACCTTTAGGTCCTTGAGCTCCTCTTTCACCCGGAGCACCCGGGAGTCCCTAAATAATTTTTACACGTTGAAAAAAAAATTTTTTTTTCCCCCTCTCCCCAGTGAAAAATAATTTTTTTAAAACCTACGGATGTGCCTGGAGGGCCAGCTTTACCATCGATTCCAGGCATTCCTGGTGGACCCGGTATTAAATCTGGTAACGTTAAATTTTTTATAATCGAAGTTAAATCGCAAGTACAAACTCCAGGCGGTCCTCTGATTCCCTCGATTCCTTCACTAAATTTTCCTGGAATTGTCTTGATGAAAATTTTTTTTTTTTTTGTTATTCAATCCAAAAATTTAAACGGTTCTATTTCGTTTATTCATTTATTTACCTTATCATCGACGGGTGAAGAAAATTCACCTCTTGAAAATGGTGCTCCCGGTGGTCCAGGTGGTCCAGGGGGTCCTGGAGGTCCTCTAATTGATTCACCCGGTGGTCCCTACAACCACATGCCATTAACTATTTAAACTACCACATAAGAAATTATTATTATCATTATTTTTTTTACAATTACCCTAAAACCCCTGTCTCCTTTTTCTCCTTTAAATCTAAAAAATTCACTTCCTTCCAATCCTGGAGGGGGAGGAGGAAATGGTGGAATATTCGAACCGGTACTTTCTCCAAAACCATCATCACCTTCTTGATCAGAATCAACCTAATAAAAATTTTTTTTATTTTTTTTTATTTAATAATTTTATATGTAAAATAAAATTAACCACGTGACAAACTGAAATAAAAAAATTTTATTATTATTATTATACCGGTGAATAAAAGTTATTTTATCAATGTTATTATTATTATTATTATTATGTACATTTTTAGGTTTAACCACCCAGAAAAAAAAAAAAAATTTTAATTCAACTCTGTCACACGTGAGTTTTTTTTTACCCCGTAAGGCAAATGAAATGGTAGCAGTTATTAAATGATGATGATGTGCGTGTGTGCGTGTGTGCGTGTGTTAAAGAGCGATTTAATTATGAGTTTGATAACAAATGTGTCAAGAACAATAACGTAATTATTTATTTACGGCAATGAAATTATTTCTATAAACATTAGAACATCAAATCCGACATTTTGTCTAATCTTTGACATTTAATTCTACATGTACAAAAGAAATAAAAATCCCCGTAATTTATTGATATTGATCAAATTGAGTTTTTCTTTTTCTTTCTTTCTTTCTTTCGAATTCTCATAAGTTTATTTATGATGTTTTCCCCCCGCCCCCCCCCCGTTTTGTTCATTCATTGTAACGGTTTTTATTTTTAAAAACAGAGAACCCGTGTTAATAAATTATATAAAAATATGATTACGGGTCAACAATTTTTCAAAAATTTTGACTTTTTTTTTGTTTTATTTTTATTAGCAGAACGCCATTCGTGTTTTTTTTAACAGACCTTTTTACAATTATGTGTACCATATTTATTTTTTTAATTTATAATTTATTATTATTTTATAACAAATAATCGATTATTATTTAATTTTTTCTTGAACACATTTGTTATTAATTTGCGCACGTGTGTTAGTTAGTCTTTCACCCTTTTTTTTTTTTGTTTTAAATTTTAAAAATTTAAGCGGAAATTAAAAAAAACCGATTACATAGAAAATGCAGAAGAAATTAAATCAATTCAAACGTTTGTAAACAAAAAAAAAAAAAATGTTCACGATTCGGGTTAAAATTTAAAAACAAAAAAAATGTAAGCAAGTTTTATCGTGTTTTTTTTTTAATAATAAAACCTCCCCGATAAAAAATCCATAATTATTATGTTATTTTATTTTCACGTTTAAATAAGACTTACAAAACTGAAATTGTATTCATCTTCTCCAGACCCTTCAAATCCCTAAAAAAATAAAAAATGGGAATAAAAAATTTACCACCGTAATTTCATCATATCCAACCTTCTCCACGTATACGTCGTGTTATTAATAATAATAATAATACGTATACATTTGACCTTCGACACAAAACTATTGTCACAATCGATATTAATAATAAATAAAATTCTTTTATGTAATTTATGTGTTTCATTTTAATAATTAATGTAAAAGTAATAAAAGAATTCGTGGCGCCATAAAAAAAAAAAAAAAAGAATTCTTTTTCCACGGTATAAAATTTTTTGTTACGTAATTTTATTTATTTTATTTTCATTGCTGAAGTGAAAATAAAAAATTATTTATTTATTTATTTATTTACTTACCTGAAAATTGTTATCACATTGAAGTTCGGCTTGATTTGCGCTACCATAAAGTTTTAATTCTTGTAACGAACCCTTTAAAAATATACATAAACGTTTATTTAAATAAATAAATAAATAAAATGTTTTATTATCATTATCATTATTATTATAAGGTAAAATGTTTCTTACGTTAAATGAACCTTTAAGCAAAGGACCAGCTTGTCCAACGTAAAGAGTCGATGCGGAATCAAATATTAATTCCGATGGTGATTTTTTTATTTGTACGGAATCATATTCGTGACAATTAAAATACAATGTTACGTTATTTGATGTCACTTTAAATGCAAATCTGAAAAATAATAATGATGATGATGATGATGATGATATCGTTATGTAATAATTACGTATCGCCGATAAAAGATTGATAATAATAATAATAATAATAAAATAGAACTCGCCTCGTCCATTTGTTAACAACATCCGACACGTCAAAGCTAGCTATTATTTCAGATGAAAAATGAGTGTTTGCATCTGTGTAAAATAGGCTAAAATTAGAATGTCCTGGATTTTCATTTGCCGGCGTTATTTGTATTCCCAACTGGACAACCGTTTCCAAAGGATTAACAACGGCAAAAAGAAATCCGCCATCGTGAGAACTTAGTTTTACGGTTGCTTGAATCGTAAATTCCGAATATAATTTTTCTGGCAAAATAATACGATAGGGAACTTTAACGTCGCTACCGGGGAGGAGTCCAAATGCGGGAAATCCATCGAATCCCTTGTCGAAAAATTGAGTTTTAGGATCTTCGAATGGGATTTTTATTGCTCTTATTAAATCGTGTTCTAAACTGAAATCTAAAGAACAATTTTAATTTTTTTTTCCTATCATTATTATTATTATTTAATAAATATTAATTGATCACATGACTTTTAAAAAAAATAATAATAATTTTTTCATTGAATTAAAAAAAAAAAAAAAAAAAGTGGCGTAGTGATTAATATGCAATGTCCATCGTCCGCCGCCTTAAGTATCAGCATTTCCTTCTTAACAATAATTTATTATTATTATTATTATTATTATTATTATTATTATTATTACCGTCCAAAAAAAAAATTCGTTCTTCCTTTTTTATTTCTATTAATAATTATTAAATTAATTGTAAATTGACAGTTCGTTTTTTTTTTTAAACTTTTCAAATATTTATTACGTTATGTAAGAATCATTGAAAAGTTTATAAATAATAATGATGATGATGCTTATGATACCTTATTGCCGATCGAAACAAACAAACAATAATAATAATAATAAATAAGGCGGTGGTTTTTTTATTTTATTTTTATTTATACCTTGTTAACAAACCTTAATTTTTTTTATTTTATTAATAATCATGTTCTTAGAAATTTCATATTTAATGATATCATGCAAGTTAAATAATAATAATAATAATAATAATAATAATAATAATAATAATAATAATAATAATAATAACAATAATGATGATTTTTACCTTGCAAAACGGTTCTACCACCGAATAATTGTCCTCCAGTCCATGGAAACATAAAAGAAAATAAAAAATAAAAAATCGCCGATGCGATTTTTATACTTTCCAACCTTTAAACAAAAAAATAATAATAATAATTTTGCGGATAAAAAAAAATTTAATAATTTTTGCGGATATTCACATGAGTTAAAATATTATGATAATAATAATAATTTTTTGTTTTTTTCGCTCTTTTTGTAATTTAAAACTAAAAAATTTTCCTTTTTGTGTGTAATCCTAGGGATCAACATCAAAAAAAAAAAACATAATCCGACAAAATATTTTTTTTTTTTTTAAAATTTTAATCATCGAATATTTAATTTTACATTATTATTATTATTATCATCATCATTTCCGTGAACGTATCAACGATATTATTTACGCATAACATAAAACGTTTTTAAAAAAACATTTTGTGTTCGTGCTACGTGTGTGTGTGTGTGTGTGTGTTAAACGACTGGAGAATTTTTTTTTTTTTTTTTTTTTTTAAATCTTACGTAACGTAACGAAGAATTTTATTTTTTTTCTTTCTATTTCTCGAAGGGGGGATAATTAAAATAAAATAAAATAAAAAAAAAAAAGAAAAAAATTTCGCATAAAAATGACTGAAATTAATAATAAAATGACAATGAATATATTCAATTGGATTCAAATTATTATGTGACTAACATAAAAATAAAAAAAAAATTGTATGGATAGATAGATAGACGTCGATCGAAAAAAAAAAAAAAAAAAAAAGAATCTAACGACGGGATATCTAAAATTAGATGTCTATAATAATAATAATAATAATATTAATTTAAAGGGAAAAAAAACGTCTGCTTGTAAAAAAAAAAAAATAAATATTAATTTTGGCATTTATTACAAACAATGGTTAAAACTTTTTTTTTTTTATTCTGTGTGTCCTTATTATGGTTAAGGTTAATTTAATGCTATTTGATTTTTATTTTTTTTTATCCTTTTCCCCCTCCCCCTCGCCCTCCCCTTGCAAAAAATTAATACGATTGGAAGAAAGGGGGGGACTTAGAAAAACAATAAAACTTTGTTTAAATTCATTTTAAAAAAAAAAATTATTTCCATCCATATCGTTCTGTATGTTTGGGGGGAAGCCATGATGACTCCATAAAACAAAAACTTTTTTCACAATTATTATTATTATTATTATTATTATTATTATTTTAACGGTTAACCTTAGGGGTCATTTAGAGTTCAACATTTAATGAATAATTATTTTCCTTTTTTTAAAAATTTATTTTGGGTTAATTATATTAAAATATGCAATTAAAAAAATTTTTTTTTTTTTTTTTTTTTTTTTTTACGCGTGTTTGTTTTCGAAAACAAAATGAACGACAACAACAACAAACTTGAATGAACGTGTCGAAATGGGCAAAATAAAAAATTTAAAAAAAAATGTTTCCGTCAAAATATTTTAAATAATAATTTATTATGTTTTGGATATCGTAGAATAAAATTTATGACAATGCATTTTATATATATATATATTAAAAAAAAAAAATTGTTTATAACTTTTTTTTTTTTTTTTTTAGTTAATGATTAATTGGTAACATATTTTTTTTTGGAAGGTCCTTTCATAAATATATTTATCATGGAGTATAGAGTGCAACGTACTCAATTTAATGCATTTCCAGCCGTTTATAATAATAATAATAATAACAGTATACGTTTACAACTACTAACGATTAATAAATAAATAAATAAATTTTTTTTATTTTTGATAATATTATTTAAAAATTTTATTATCATCATTTATTTATTTATATTTTGTAATTTTCAAAGTGTGTATTTATTAAAGTAAAGAAAAAAATTATTATTATTATTATTAATTAATTAATAACACGTAATTAAATTAATAAATAAATAAATAATTATTATTAACTTACCTTAAATTCATTTTTTTTTTAAATAAATATTTTTTTTCACTCCATTCCCGTTTTTTTTTTCTTTTTTCTTTTACATTTAATATTAATTAATTAATTAATTAATTATTTGGTTCATTAATTATTAAGTAAATAAATAAATTATGTACATAAGTCCATAAAAAAAAATTTTATGTAACTCGACGTTTAATTAAATCCTATTAAATAATTTAAAAAAAAAAACAATTATGTTATTAATTAATTAGTTTTTTCCTTTCGAGTATAATTTTGACGTTGTAATCAAAAACCCCGCTAAAAACAAAATAATAATAATAATAATAATAATAATAATGTGAGGGGAGGGGGGCTCGTAAACCTGATTTTAAAAAAAAATCTGGCACGTATATATATATACACCAAATTTTAGGGGTATAAAAATTTTTTTTTTTTTTTTTTAATTTAAGAATAATAATTCCAGGTTTTTTAACTTTTCTCAAATGATAATAATAATAATAATAATAATAATAATAATAATAAAGAATATAATAAACATATAATAATAATAATAATAAACATATAAAGATCCAATACGAAAAAGCCGATCATACAAAAAAAAAAGATTGCGCGTAGGAATGAAATCGGCAAGAAAAAAATAAAAATTTTTTTTTCCTTTTTTTTCTTTTGTACATCATTATTATTATTATTATTTTTTTTTTTCTCTCCTTTCATCTCCCTAGCGTCCTCTTTTTTCATCTGGACCAAATTTTTAACATTTAAATGATTTTAAATTTTAACACGAGATGACGGCAAAAAGTTTTCTTTTTTTTTTTTTACATTTCACCTGAAATTCGGTAAAAAAAAAAAAAAAAAAAAAAAAAAAATTGAACGGCATCGAACACGATTAAAAAAAAAATTATTATTATCACTATTATTATTATTAAAAAAAAAAATTACTATCGATAACGTTGTAACACACACAATAAAAACAAAAAAAAAAAATAAAAATTATGTGAGAGAGAGAGAGAGAGAAAGAGAAAACTCGTGTAATTAGAAAAAAAATATTTAAATGTAATCGCATCACAAAAAAACTTATTAAAAAATTATTATTATTATTATTATTATTTATTAACTCACGAAACTAGAAAAAAAATATATATATATGTATTTTACACACGCATAAAAATGCGTAAACGCATTACGATAAGCAAAATTTAAATGAATATTTATATATACGCATAGAGAATATTATTTAAAAATAATAATAATAATAATGGAGAAAACCACGTGGTTTTAAATAAAAATTAATCGCGGCGGTTTTTTTGTTGTTGTTACTGCAAAGGATATGAGTTAGTGTATATATATATCGTGAAGTAGAAAAACATAAAAACGAAAATAGTAATAATAATAATAATATTAACGAAAACTGAAAAAACGAAAAAACGAAAAAAAAAATTTTTTTTTTTTTTTGTTAACCGAACCGATTGAGTTCCCGGCTGTAACTGCTCAGTAAACCGGATTCTGTCCGCATCTTCTTCTTCTTCTTCCCTTTTGAACAAGGTGTCTCTTTCTTTCTTTCTTTCTTTCTTTCTTTTTTCTATCTTTCTTTTTTTTTTTATCATTCTTTCTTTCTTTTTCTCTTTCGTTTTTTTTGTATTAGCTGCAAACGACAACCGACAAACACCTTTTAACACACGTTTTTTTTAAAAAATTCATTCATTTACAAAATGACGACATAATCATTTGTTTTTTTTTTTTGTCGTGTCTCCAGATCGAAAAATTTTGTTTTTTTTTTAAACTTTTAACCTTTATCAAAGTTTTATTATTGTAGATGGATGGATGGTTTGTTGGTTGTTTGTTTTATTTATCAGTTAGAGAAAAGTAAAGCCTTCGATGGTATGTAAATTCCTCAACCGTCTGCCTTGTTTTTTTTTTTCCTTTTTTTTTTTTCTCGAACCCGGAGAAAACATAACAACAACGACAACAACAACAACAACAACAACAACAAAAAAAAAGGTAAACATTACGTGAGTTTATATTTTTTTTTTTTTTTATCCCGAAGGGTTGGGAAAAAATAATGTACGGGACTTGAAATTTTTTTTATTTCGAAACGTTTCTCTCTCTCTTTTTTTTTTTTTAATGAATTTTTTTTTTCTTCGAACGAAAAAAAAACGTTATTATTATTATTATTATTATTATTATCGTTTAAACAATCAACTTATTATTATTATTCTTGTTTTTTTGTAACGTTAAAATTATTTTTTGAAAATTTAAAAAAAAAAAACGAATAATAATAAAATTATCCTGTAAAAAAATACAAATATTTGTTTTCCTTTTTTTTTTAATGATAATATTATTATTATCATTATTATTATTATTATTTAAATTATAAAAACATTTTGAAAATAAATGTTTTGGAAAAATAATTTCAAAATGTGAAAACTGGAGAGAAAGAGAGAGAGAGAAAAAAAATGGAAATAATAATAATAAAATGAGATTTTTCGCTTCTCACAATTATTACCTTTTTTTTATGGATTTAAGCGCGAGATTATCATTATCATCATTATTATTATTATTTTTTGATTAAAATTATCTACAAAAAATTGTTGTTGTTGTTGTTACGTCACGTGAGAAAAAAAAAATTAAAACTTAAATAAAAAAAAAAAATGTTTTTAAAGTAAACTATTAATAATTTAATATCGGTTCTTATTGATTTATAATTCCTTTAGGTCCCATTATTATTATTATTATTATTATTAATTGTATAATAAATCCCCCCCTAAAAATATATATTATATAAATACTCATTTGGAAAAATTCGATGGTTTTTAGAAAACCCTTAGAATTTTTTTTTTTGTTGTTATCATAAGAGTATAAATTTATTTATTAATTTTATTATTATTATTATTAATTATTATTATTATTGTACTTATTAAATCATTTATTTATTTTTATTAACGAGATCCCTGAGATCCCTAATTCATTATATATACATAACATCCAAACTAATTTTATTTTATTAAATAAATATTTACGATCAGAAAAAAAAAAAATTGAAAAATCAATAACGCGATCCTTATCAATTTTATTTTACATAAAAAAAATTTATTTTCCTAAATTTTTTTTTCGGGGGGGGAGTGGGGAGGAACGGCGGGGGCAGGGGTTAACAAACCCAAAACAAACATTTTAACCTTTTTAATTTTTTCAAATGTTAAAAATCAACGGGAATCAATAACAAAAATGGATTAACTCATAAATGAGCTCCCCCCCTTTTCCCCTTTTAAATCCACTTTACCCCTCCCTACCTCCCATTCCCGATCTCCACCCCCAATCCCCACTCCGCCTTCACTCCGACCCGGAGACTTTTTAAAAATAAAAACTTTATTTTATTGCTAAAGTTTTATTTTTTTCTCCCCTCTCCCCTCTTCGAAATTCGATAGATCGAAATAAATCGTTCGATAAAAATCGTTTTTTTTTCTTAAAAAAAAAAAAACAACCGAAAATAATAATAATAATAATAATAATAATAATAATAATAATAATAATAATAATAATAATAATAATAAAATAAGAAGAAAAAAAAAAAACTTTCGATTAAATTAATTAAATTTTAATGTACATAAATTTTTAAATAACTTTTGTATTTTTTTTTTTTTTTTTATACAAACTTATTATTATTATTATTTTTTATTTTAATTAAAAATTAGAAAAAAAAAAAAAAAACATTCATGAAATTTATTTATGTATAATTAGAATTTTTTTTCTTTTTCTTTTTCTAATTTTTAATTTTGTTTTTCAACTCAATCACAGTAGATTTGGTTAACGACAATCGTTTTGGTTGTTTTTGTTGTTTGTTGTATTAATTCATTCAACTTCTTATTATTTTCTGGAGATTTCGCCGCCTGGGATGTTTTTTTTCCTCTTTTTTCGATTTAGATAGGGAGAGAAAGAGAGAGGGGGAGAGACTAGAAGCACTAGATTTTTTTTATTTTGTTTGTTTGTTTGTTTTTTAAAGCTATTATCAGCTCGTTTGAGCTCTGGCCATCATTCCGTTGATCATTATGTTTGCAAGAGCGTTCCTCCTTTTACGCCACATTCCCAATATCTGTGCGTGATATTGTAATTGTTTATACCATTCTTTGGTCCTTTCGCAATCTTCCGCTTTGAATATGAAACTATCTTTTGTCACGAGCTCTTGCACTTCGAAAGATTCATCGATATCCGTTTCGCAACAAACAATTATTTTATCCAAATACAAGGGCTCCTACATATATATAAGAGAGATGAAAGAGAGAGAGAGAGAGAGAGAGAGAGAGAGAAAACAAAAACAATGAAAACATTACTTACCCTAATTAATGTGTATCGATTACATTTTTCTTTAACTAATAGTAGGGTCGCTTCCCTTATTCCCGTTTTGACCGGAAATATAAGATCCTCATCGGTGGGATCCATTTTGTATTTTGAATTTGGTTTTCCAAGAGTGACCAAAAGTACGAAAACGGGAGCGAGTTTTATCGTTTTCCCTCTTTTCCAATTATTATCGTTCGGTTGAGTGTATAATAATTTTCCCTCTAAAACGAATCTCACTTCTTCGTGATTCCATTCCAAAACGTCCACGGCCATTTTACGAAGTTTTATGTTCATTATTTCGGATTCCGTCGCGACTTTTCGACCGCTAATTGTCGCCGTTGAAAATCTTCTCCATACTTTTGTCGCGCTCACGTCTTTAGCTTCCTATTTAACAATAAAAAAAATAATCTAATGAGAGTGGGGGAGGGAGTAGGCGGCGGCGGTGGCGGCGGGGGGGGAAGGTGGAAGCGCAGGTGTAAACTATTTGCGTTATAATAATAATAATAATAATAATAATAAGAAAAAAAAAGAAGAAGCAAATTACATTGGAATAAACGAATTTTTTTTTTTTTTTATGCGAAACGGAAATTAATTTAACTTACGGAATTCATATGTTCCAAATGAAGTTCAATTTTATGTTGAGCTTCTTTAAGCGTTTCCCTATTTTCCTGTTGTACAGGTGTTACTTTGTACAGTCTGGCTAGTAAAAGGGGATATTTAGTAACTCTTTGAACTGGCACCTGCGTACAAAATATTATTATTATCATAAGAATATTATTTGACAATTCGATATAAAAAAATTTTTTTTGCACTTTTTTTTTTTTTTAAACAAAAACTATCGTTTAATAATAATAATAATAATAATTTCAATTTAAACAAAACGCGACACGCAAAACATAATAAAAATTAATGTTTAAAATTGTATTGATATTAAAATACAAACTCACTGACATTAGTTTTAGTGATAAAGGCTAACGTTCTAAAGTTTACTTAAAAAGAGATAACCTTTTCTTTCTCTCTCTCTCTCTCTCTCTCTTTCTCTTTCTCTGATTATTATTATTAGTAATAATTTAACGGAAAAAAAAAAAAAATTACCGACACTACTACTAATAATATTAACATGTAAACATCAATTATTATTATTATTATTTATAGTTACTAAAAATAAATTATATAAAAATTTTTTCGAAAAAAAAATATAGAAAAAAGGTTTGTACCATTAAAAATGAATTAAGGTTCATTCTTCTTAGAACTGTGTTTTCCATTTGCGAAACTCTTAAGAATATTCTTAAAAGTTCTTTTTCCTTTTCCAAATTCGTTAACAACATGGCTGCCCCTCCCTGTCGTATGCAATAACGTTCGAAAGCGTGCAACATGGGACCCGCTTCTAAAAATAATTTTCCGACGTTTACGGTTAAAAAATCTTCGTCTCCCTGCTCCATGGCTATTTCTAACGTGTCTCGCAATCTTTCAATGAGAATTTTACTATTTTCCAGTAATTCTTCTGTGTTTAAAAAAATAGCCGACAATTGTTCTGGAGTCAATAACCCCGCTACCAACATCGGAGTGTAAAATTCTTCTAAAATTATTTTAAGATCTCTTCCGTATTTTTCTTCCGTTTCAACTATTTCTTGTATTATTTCCTTTCTTTCCGATCTTTTTTTTGCACATTTCCTACAGACTAATGGTATGTACATGGCACCGCTGATCATGCAACAAACAACAAAAAAACAAAAAAATTAAATTTCTTTTTTTTTTTTGGAAAAAGGAGGGGGAAAGGATAAACCAAATTCTCACCTTTCTGTAACCTTTGCTTCGACAATTTGATCGCAATCGTCGCATAAATTCCGCGGATCTTCTTTTATGCTCGAATACGTCTGCCATTTGCTTCTCGATGTGTGGCTCGCTTCCGAACCCACTCCAGAATCGTTTCTTTCAACTTCGGCAGAACTTTTCTTGTGAAATTTGAGGGGCGGCATTTTCTCGGGCGTGCCGAGAACCGAATTGACGTTATCATCGCTCGAATTACTTATTTGACTGTACCTATTTATCGACAAATCCATTTCCGAATCCGTTTCCGACGATATGAATTTCGCATAACTGATCTTTCCGAATTCAGATAGATCCGGAGAGATGTTGTTATCTCGATCTGAGTAACCCTTATCATTTTTATCGTAGGTCAACCTTTTACAATCGACGGAATCATCGCCGCTGATCGTGCTTCCGTTAAAATATGAGTCACCCTGTACTCTTTCTTTTGCATCGACCAAATAACTGAGAATGTCGTATTTTGATGCTCCTTCAAATATTGATTTTGCCGTCGATTGAGATTGTGGCGTTTCAGCTGCACTGTCGAAAACCGGAAACGGAGCGAGAGGAGGAAGTCGGGAAGGAAATGCTTCGTCATCTAAATTAGAACCGATTTTATCGTAAATTGGTTCTTCTTTAATAGTCTCGTAAATATTTTCTTCATCATCGTCGTCGTGGTCACATTCACAGGCGTCACCGTCATCATCATCATCATCATTATCATTTTCTTTTTTCTTATTCTCTTTAATATCATTTTGAACTTCGTATTCACATTCTAATTTATTTTTCTCTTGTTCCATTGTATCCTCCGTTTCTGTTATGTAAATTTTACTTTTAGTTACCACCGGTGGTGAAATTACATTGTTTTCCGATTCATTATTCGATTTCAATTTTTTATTTTGATTGTTTTTAAAACTATTATTTCTACTTGTGTTAGCAGAAGAATTTTTTTCCAAACTGTTATTTCGGGACGTTGTTGCCGACGAATCTTTGGATTTGGCAACAACACCGTTCCTTACATTTCTCTCATCCTGACACGATGATTTCGATAATTCTTGAGTTTTTTCACATTCCTGAGAATCGACAAAAAGTTTCAATGTTTGTTTCAAATCTTTTTGATTGTTTGACGTTTGTTCATTAATTTGTTTATCATTATTATCATTATTATTATTCGAAACGTCTCGATCCGTTTTCCCGCAAACGTGTGGAATTAAATTCATTCGAACGGCTTCGACTGGATCTAACATTTCCAATTGTTTTTTATTTGAATTGTTGAGAAATTTATCGGGTGCGGTCGTCGTCGTCGTCGTCGTCGTCGTTTTCGTCTCGTCATCATTCATTTTCAAAATGGTCGAACAAGTGTCACCCACAATCAATGTGGTTTTGTTATCCGTGGATAAGACCGGAATCACCGTGGAATTAGAACCGGTTTCGATGATGGTGCAAGTCGACGAACTGATTTCTTTATCGCAGGGTTCGGTCGTTACATTAATCGTGACTTTATTACTATCCAAAGGATGAAAATTGCTTATTATAACCGACGTTTTCCTCTTCGGCTCTTTTTCTATTTCGTTTATTACATTTTTAGGATGAATCGTTATGGATGGTTTTTTACTTTCCACGTTTTTCCCCATCGACTCCGTATTTTTAATTAAATTCGAATTTAATTTCAACGTCGTCTTTTCATTTTTCTCTTCTGTCGTATTCGTTTCGAAACAAGATTTTTCCGATTCGACAGACTCCCGAGTCTCTTTTTTATTCGCGTCAACGTTCGCATTCGGTGAATCATGGCATGATTCTTTAACGGAAACTTTAACAGATATCGTACCTGAATTTTTATCAACCTTTTTCATGGGAATTTTTCTCGACGGTGGACTTGGCGCGGGTGCTTTTGTTTTAACACCCACCGCATTAGGTTTTAAACGTACTTTAGAATTTCCATTTGTCGTTTTAGACGGCGAAGATTTTTGTCGATCCGACTCGGAATTATCTATCAATTTACTAAATTCTTCGTACGTTATTAAATTTCCGGAAAGTTTTTGCTTCGATTTGACCTCTCCTCCTCCTCCTCCTCCTCCTCCGTTCGAAGAAACCATCGTTTCTCCCGGATTTTTACTCTTGACGATTTTTTCAAATTTAATATTTTTTTGATTCGCGTTTGATTTATCGGTAAATATTCCTCTCGTATCTGATCTCGTTCCTCTAGTTCTCAGAGCCATTGTATCGGTAAATTGCACGGAACTCGATGAACTTCGTGATGTTGTTGTACTATTATTATTATCATCATTTTTAGAATTTATCGTTGGAGGAGTTGATCGTCTATCGCTATAACTTCTCCTTAATCCAGATACGGAATGATTGTTATTATCTACAAAAGATAATAATAATAATAATAAATTAAACTTTTACTTATTAACTTTTTCCATAGAGCATCAAGCAATGCACAATTCTAAAACGTGGTTAGTTAAGGCGAAATTAGCGTTTGTAATGACGGGTCATTAAATAGATAATTTTTTAGAAAAAAAAAAAACTAATTATTTTACATGATATAATAACGAGACCATGTGCAATAACTTATTAATCATCATAGCAGGAGTCATTTAAATATGCATAAGTTACGAGTGATGGAAAAGTTAAACGATGACAGCATTTTCAAACCACTCATGTGTTAAAATTATTTGTTAATTTATCAACGTCTTTCAAAAAAAAATTGTAATGATAATGATAATAATAATAACGACGACGACGTCACGAATGATTTTCTTATAACCTCTATTAGAAATTCACGTGTAGCTTGGAAAAAATAAAAATAAAAATTTTTTTCGAAAAGGTTCAAAAACCCGGGAAATTTTCATTTAAAAAAAAAAAAATTGATTTTCCATGTTAAAATTAGAATTAGTTAATTAATAATTTCCACTTCAAAAAACGTTTCTTTTTATTAAGTGCTTTTCTTTTTCCTAAAACATAATATATAGATAGAATATGTATTTAATTCCGCCATTTTAATTTTATTTAATAACAATTCATAAAAGTCATTTTTATTATAATTAACAAAATATAAAAGGAAAAATTAATTAATTACGATTAAATTTTACTTTTTTTTTTTTACGTGTAAAATAAAATAATAAGAAAAGAGAGAGACAGAGAGAGAGAGAGACAGAGATATTGTTTAAAAATTTTACATTTCGTGTACGAACAGAAATTAATTTGACCTTGTTCTATAAAAATTTACTAAATAATATCGAAAATATAAAAAAAATTGATACTGAGTAAATAATTTTCTTTTTTGTTTTTTTCTTATGGGTAGGCGGAAGATTGGCTAAATAATTTTTTTTTTGTACGTGGATCCCACGTACAAAAATAATAATAATAATAATATTATTATTAATTATTTTTTACAAATTTAGATTAATTAGTTCAACAAATAATAATAATAATAACGTTTACTATTTGATTTTCACATACGCACGTAAGAGATATTGATGTAATTCGATATTTACGTAACGGATTTAAATAAATTTTTTTGAATATAAAACAAAGGGTTAACCTTTTTTTAATCCGTATTAAAATCATCGTCTCCGTCATCATCATCATCTTCATCATCATAATCATCATTATTTTTTTCTAATATGAAAACGTGGTTTTTTTTATGTTATTCGAGTGAAAATTTTCAATCACGTTTACGTACGGCGTTTAACATTTAAGAGATTTCTTTTTTTAGTGTGTGTGTGCGCATGCGCGAGAGAGTGCGGGAAAACTAAAAAATTTAAGCAAAAAAAAAAAAAAAGAAAGAAAAAAGAAAAACAATGAAAAGGTGGCATTAAAACCTTGCATTCCACGTAACGAATGAAATGAAAAAAAAAAAAATTATGGAAAGCGACAGGAAGTCAAGGCCTTTGACACAACAAAACATTTGATATTTGGTGAATGTATTATTATTATTATTATTGATATTAATTGTGAGTAAAAGGTAAAAATTTATTTTTTTTTTCCTTCCCTTTTTTTTTTCTTTACCTCCTTTTACTTGAGCTTTTCAGAGGGGAAAAAACAAAAACCTTAAAGTTTACATCATCATCGTATCATTTGCTTCAAGGCAGAGGGAAAAAAAAAAATTTAGGTTTAGGTCATAAATCTTTTTTTTTTAAAGAGAACACGTTTTAACAAAAACAAAAAGAGAGAGAGAGAGAGAGAGAAAAATGGTCGGAAGTTAAAAAAACAAAAATGTGAAAAAGGATTAAACAATATTTACATCAACACCGCAGGAAGATTAGTTTCATTGTGGTAAACCTTTTTTCTTTTTTTTTTTGTAAAAATGAAAGCACGCGATCCGGATAATCATCCTTTGATTTTTTTACCATTTAAACCCCCCCCCCTTCCCTCCAAAAAAAAAAAAATAATTAAAAAATAAAAAAGTTATAATTACCATTGAGAGATGAATTATCCTTAGCAGAAGACTCTTTGAATTTTTGATTTTTATCGTTAACGATATTATTTTTTTCCATTTCGTTTTCGTCGCCGCCGCCGCCACCGCCGCCGATTTTTTTAATTTTCTCAACGATTAAAATCCCATTTTCGACGTTTTTCCTTTGTTTTACATCCGGTTCGGTTTTCATTATTATTTCATTTATTTTTAAATCATCATCATCATCATTATCATTATTATTATTACTTTCATATTGATTTTCTATAACGTTTTCCAATTCCGTCGTCGTTTTATTATTACCATTTAAATTTTCAAATGAATTATTCACTTTAAACTGAACTTGTTTTTTTTTCTTTAACGTGTTTTGACTTTGATTTTTATTATTATTATTACTATTATTATTATTATTACTACTACTACTATTATTATTATTATTATTAATTAAATTTAATTGCGGCATTGAATTTTTCCATAAATTATTATCCGATTCTAATTGAATTGGAGGACTATCGTTATGATCGATGATCGAACCCTCGAATATGCTCGAATCGTCTCCGTTTCCGGGTGGTTTTTTCAATATTGATTTTATCGATAAGTTCGGCGAGGATTTCGACCTCGATTTCGTATGTTTTAAATTTGTTTCTTTTAAAATAATAGGCTTTTCTTTTTGCCTTCGCGGAGGCCTTTGCGGGGATAACGCGGCATCGTCTCCGGTTTTTTTATCAATCGCAACAACTCCCGAATCGTCGCTATCGTTAAGACTCTCTCTCATCTCTCTTTTCGATATTTGAAACCTTTGACCGTTGCACACAATATCAGCCTTATTTGAATTTTCATTCGAAAATTCTTTCGATTCTGTTTTTTTCGACGATACTCTAATAAACTCAGTCTTATTTAACTTTGGCCGCATTATTGTCAGCTTTGAACTATCAATTTCAGATGCGTTTATACCGAATTCATCACTCGAATCGTTACTATAGTCTTTCGATTCGCTTTTGTTTAATTCGTAAACGTCAACTTCACATTCTAAAATTGATTTCCTTCTTCCGACGACTTCTTCCTCTGGTTTCGTTCGGTCTTCTTTTTCGTTTCTCCAATATTTCATTTCTTTTCCGCTTGATTTCGATTTATGAGTTTCTATGGGGGATTCTCGTTTTTGTAGGAGAGGATAAGATTCTATAGAATTGGGCCTTTTACTCTGTGAAAGTTTATACGTTCCTAATGTAACGGATTCGGCGTTATCGACGGACGATCCTAATCTGTTTTTTCTCATTACGTTGTAAGGATCGGAAACTCCTAAAATGGATGATGATGTTTTTTTACCACGAACGGAAACGGAATCTTTTAAACAACTTCCCTTGCTTATTGTGTGACCTCCCGTTTTTATTTTTTTTCCAGCATACGTCACGGGTTCGAGTACGCCGTTGTTACCACTACTACTACTACTACTACTACTACCACCATTGGAAAATTCGTAAATTTTAAAATCATTTTTATCACCGGTACGACTTTTATCGAGACTATTCGGAAATGACGGTTGACTAAATCCCCTATACCTGACTGGAGAAACACTTTTTAAAGGATCGCTAAAATATACACCATTGGATGAACTTTGGTAATTATCATTTAGTCCTCTGGACGGAGGTGGTACGACTCCAGGGTAAATGAACAAACTGGGTCTCGGAGTTGGAGCTCCCCGCACTCCCACGGTTCCGTATAGCCACGTTTCGGCATATTTAATGCTTTTCGTTAGTACTCCATTCGAAAGAGTCCCATATTTTTGTAAATAATCGGGATGAACCATAAAATTAGATGATTCGATACCCGATGATGATTTACTCCCCGTGATTTTTCCACTGCTTTTTCCAATCGTTCGTTGTTTCTCTTTTCCATTTTTTCTACTTCTATTTTGATTGACTTCCATTGAATATTTTTATAAGAAAAAAAAAACATACGTACATTTTTAAAAAATTCAGTTCGAACGTAATACTTATACATTTTCCACGTAATAATAATAATAATAATTAAAATTTACAAATGTTTTTTTATTGTTAATTTTTTAAAATAATGCAATCGTTCGCAACAACATTCAACTCCATTTTTTTTTTTTTTTTTTTTTTTACGCAATTCACACTCATTATAAATTATTATTATTACAATTTTTTTTTTTTTTTTTTTTTTTGTTTGAATGAGTAGCGTAAGAGGAAATTTTTAATTGTAAAAATTACGTAAAATATAAAAGGAAAGAGAGCAGCAAACACAAAGCGTAAAAAAAATAGGTTCAAAATAAATGCTGAGTTAATTTATATATTATTATTATTATTATTATTAATAATTATCGCTAATGTTTTTTTTGCTTTGCGGTTTAAAAAGAAAAAATGTTTTGAAATTATCCCTACCACTCCTCCCTTCCCCCCAGTATTATTTATTGTACTTTTTATTTTTTTTACACTTCGGTATAGTTTTTTAAATTTTTTATTATTTAAATAAATACATTACTGATATGTGGGGGGAAGGCCCTAAACCGAATTTTTAAATCAATTCGGGTTGTTTTTCTTCATACAAATCTTTGTGACCAGAAGCCATATTAACAAAAAATCAATTTCTATGTTTTTTTTTAAAAGAAAATTAATATACGAGATATTTAGATTCGATTAAATTTTTTTTTTATTTTTTTAAAATAAATTTCTACCTTAAAAAAAAGAAAAAAAATAGAGATCGTTTTTTTGCTATTCGAGTGAAAGGTAGCAGCAAGTAGTAGAGTAAAAGGCAACAACAACGAAAGTAAAAGTAGCATAACGAGTAATGAATGGAAAGTAAACACGTTCGAGCAAAATCATCAGGTCAAAAAAAAAAAAACTAATGATAATAATAATAATAATAATAATAATAATAATAATAATAATAATAATAATAATAATAATAATAATAATAATAATAATTCAACTTCTTTCCTTCTTCTCTCTCCGTGTACAAAAATCATTTTTTTTTTTAAACCATTATTGATGTAATATTTTTTTTCCTCCTCGTTTAATAACATATACATATTTTTTTTATTTAAATTCCGTTTTCCATTTTTATTTAAAATAAATTAAATAAATAAATAAATATATTTATATACATGTTGTGTGGTAACATAATAATTTTAAAAAAAAAAAAAAAAAAAAAAATGAAAATGTGAAGGACGTCGACGACTACGGTGATTTTAATATGGCGATTGTAGGTTTGCAATGAATTTGTACATTTTAAACCAAAGTTTATAATAATAATAATAATAATGATATTAATATACGGAAGCATAAAAGGTGAGAGATACTTTGTTCGACTAGAGGTCAAGGATGTATTTCTCGCATCAAATAAAAAATTAAAAAAAAAAAAAAAAAATAAGAAATAAAAACCTAAAAAAAAAAAAAAATTAAAAAAACAGGTTTTTAAATTTTTTTTTGAGAAACGTTTAAAATGTCAAACCTCTTTTTATTTTTTAAGAAAAAAAAAAAGAAACATTTAATAAATAAATAAATTTAAAAAAAAACTTGTTATTTGCAATTTAATAATATAAATAAATAAATAAATAAATAAATAATTTTTTTAAAATAATTTGTTTCATAATAAAAAAAAAAATAAATAAATGATATGGATTCAGCACGTAAATTTTTCTTCTTTTTTTTTTTTTTTTTTAATTTTTTTATTTTCTATTTTAAAAAATTTTCGAATTAAAATTATCTCGGTAAATTAAACTATAAAAGGTTGCTCTCATCTCGTTTTTCTCTTTTTTTTTTTTTCGAACGTGAATTTTTTAGAAAAATTTTAGAAAATATTTTCGATACCGCGGCAAATGCAATTTGTAATTTTCAAACTAATATGTCATGGCCACGTGCAAAAATCCCGAAAGTTAAAAAAAAAAAAAAAAAAAAAAAAAAACGTGTACGTGTACGTGTTCGAATACATTTTCTATACATATTATATATAATATATAGTATATTATATATAGTATATAATATATATATTGCAAAATGCGATAAAATTGAAATTTATTAAAAATAAAAATACGAAAGATTAAAGTGGTTATTGTGAAATTTTATATATTTTTTTTATCAGTTTTACAGGTGCGTGCGTGCGTGCGCGTGTGATAAGTACCTGTACGGAAAAAATTTATTTTGACCTCTTGAAGATGTTTAAAAAATAAAATAAAATAAAATAAATTGAAGATGATTAATTTTAATAAAAAATTCACACAAAAAGCCATTCAATTTAATTACAAAATTTTTTTTTTATTATTTTTACTCAAATGTAATTTTCGAAGGTTATCCATCCCAGCAACAACACACACACACATTAAAAAATTAATAAATTTATTATATTTAAATTTTTTTTAATTATTATTAAAATACCGTTAATAATATTTATTTATTTATTTTTTTTTTTTTTAAATTTGTTCATAGAAACCGGGTAGTTATTTAATAAGTTAAAAAATGAAATGATGATAGCGTGTGCGAGAAAACGTGGATCTAACACGACGATGAATTTTTGATTATAAATTTTCGTAATCGTACCAAAAAGGTTAAATTGTGAAATATGTTAAAATAATAATAATAATAATAATAATTACGTAATAATAATGATGGGTTTCCCAACGTACCACCGCACACACGCACACACACACACAACCGAAAACATATTTTCTTTTTTTTTTTATATATATTAAAAATCATCATCGAATTAAAAACGGTAGTTTTACGTTATTTAAAAAAATTTGTTATTGTTTTTAAATTTGATTTTTTATACCATTGAGAAAGCAAAAGCAGACGACGAAAAGAAATATCGATTTATCCAACGGATAATTTTTTTTTTCCAATCAATTAATCGTCTAGCGGTTCTTTCAATATTTATAAAAAAAAAAAAAAAAACTTTTTAAGGTAACAGGTAGTTTTTTTTTCCTCTCGAAATATTCGTGGGAAGCTAGATAAGGCAGGTAGGATTTTTTTTTACATTAAAAAAAAAAATTCAAATGTCCCGAAGGAAGGAAAAATTTTTTTTTTTTGAATGGAATCAGAAAAATCCCGATTTGGATCCTTTGGAAAATTTTTTTCTTTATACGCGCATAAGCTAAGTACGAAAATAAAATTCATCAAAACATTTTAATTTTTAATATCGACACCCCTGAATTTGTCCTTTCCCGTTTTTTTTTTTTTTTTTTTTTTTCGGGTTATATAAAAAAAAAAAATTTTTTTTTCGCGCCCTTTCCCGTCAATTTAAAAACAAAAACAATTAATGGCAAAACATTATTAACATTAACCGCTCATTAATAAAAAATTTCAAATTAAAATCAGTTATTATTATGTTATTCTCTTTAATAGTAGTAGGGGGGGAAGAATTTAAATAAAAAAAAAATTTTTTTAATTTTCATTTTTTTTAATGGGCCCTAAAATCCTTAAAAAAAAATTTTGAAAGGCGGGGGCAGAAAATTTTTTTTGTACAAAAAAAAAAAAAAAAAAAAAAAAAAAATGACACAAATTATAATTATTTTTTTTTAATGGTTTTTTTATCTTCCATCGAAACATTTACATAAAAAAAAAAAACAAAAATTATGTACTGATAACGGTGGTTACGTTATTGCATAAATAATAATAATATTTTAATTATTATGAACCTATGTATTCATTAAAAATCATACGCACGAATTTACCTCGAATAAAGTTAAAAAGGAAAATAATTTAATCGTACCTGAAATTGGGGAACAAAGACCCCGTAGTAAGGGTCGAGAATTGTTTCATTTCTTCTAACTATTAAAACGCTATCCGAGGCCCCGGTCGGGGGGGGTGCCATATTGAAAATGTCCCGAAATTTTTACACCCCATTGAAGTAATGATTGTGACATCACAACTGAAAATAAATAAATAAATAAATAAATTTTTATTAAAAATAAAAAAAATTTTTATGACTTTTCATAAATTGGGAATTCATGAAAGAATAAAAAAAAAAAAAAAAAAAAAAAAATTTTTTTCTGACATTTCATAACCTCCTGGTCTTAAATTTAGAAAGGAACAATCTTTTTTTTTTTTTTTTTTAAAGAAAAAAAACTCTTAAGTTAAACAAGAAGATGATGATGATGATGATTTTTTTCTTTTTTCTTTTTTCTCTCTCTTTCTTTCCTTTTACTTTTCAATTTACGTACTAAAATGTCGTCGTCGTCGTCTGCTAGTAAAATATAGAGAAAGTAAAAAAAAAAAATCTATATATATATATATATATATATATATTTTAAATTACAAAATGAAAAACAAAATGTTCGGATGATTTCAAATCTCCAAGATAAAATCCATTTGAATGTCTTTTTCTGGGGGGAGAGTGGGGAGAGAAGGGGAGGGGAAGAAAAGGGGAAAGAGAGGGGGTAAAGGGCAGGGCTTTTTTAAAAACCATTACCGAGCCATGGGACGTTTTTTTTTTTTATTATTTAATTATATTAAAATATTTAATTTAAATGATTTTAAAAAGGAGAAAGAAGGTTTTTAATTTTTTTATTTAAAGTAGGAAGAAAATAAAAATTGCCCTTTCATTTATAACTTTACATTTTAATTAATAATAATAATAGTAATAATAATAATAATAATAATAATAATAATAATAATAAATTTAAGAAAAAGGAGGAAATGACTGTACGATCTATCCATCTGTCATTCGATAGGAAAGAGATAAAATAATTTATAAAAAATCAACTTTTTATTATTTTATTACTTAAAAAATTTATTCAAAAAGCAGAAAGTTTATTCAAAAAAGAAACTTTTTACATAAATGGAAAGATAATATATGTAATTAATAAATTTAAAAAAAATTTATTTTTTTTGGCGCGAAAAATTTAAAATAATCAATCATATACAACTAACACAAATAAAATAAAACGGCCAACGTGTAACTAACTATCTC